TGTGCGTGTGTGTCTTCAGGTGAGAGAGTGTGTCTGTGTGTGTGTGTGTTCAGGTGAGAGAGTGTGTCTGTGCGTGCGTGCGTGCTTGCGTGCGTGCGCGTGTGTGTGTGTGTGTGTGTGTGTGTGTGCGTGCGTGTCCTGACCTGGCAGATTGCGGCCTCGTTCTCGTCCAGGTTTTCCCGGAGCTGCTGCAGCTCCAGCTCCCTCTCGCGCAGCTTGTCCTCCAGCTCCCGGATCATGGCCTCCTCTCCCTCCGCCGGCGCCGGCGAGCGCCCACAGGAGCCGCTGTCCGACAGGGGCTGTCCGCGCCCGCTCAGGGACCCCGTGCTCTTGCTGGAGGAGGAGCGCCCGCTGTCCGAGTTGGAGTGGCCGTGGCCCGCGCTGCCTCGCGACGCGGGCTCCAGGTGCCCGCTGGGCGCCTCCCCATGCACCAGGCTGTAGGTGGCGCTGCTGTAGGTGGGCAAGCTGGACAGGGAGTTGCGCCCAGAATCGGACAATGTGCCCGACTGGCTGCCTCCACCGTTGCGGCCACCGCTGTAGGAGTTGCGCTTGTCACCGCTGCCCCCCCCGGCCGCCCCCGCTCCTGGCAGCAGCAGGTTGAGGCTGCCCTGGCTCTCCGACAGGCTGCCCCCTGGCCGCGGAGAGAGGTACTGCACTGAACTGCGGTTCTTGGGCACCACCGGTTTAAAAGCTGTGGGCCGGATGAGCGTCTTCTCAATATTCTGAAAAACAGAGAATCTTAGTTATTGTGCCAACTAAGCCCACTGTGACTGACTCACTTCTAAAAGTTCTGTAATAATATGTAATGCATCAAATTGTGCCAGTAATTAGATCAAAGAAGATCTTCAGCTGGAACGAAATCCAGAAGATCCTGCAGTCCTAAAAACGTACTATAAGATTACTGCATTTCTGACCAGGGGCCGGATGTTCTCCTGTTTCATCCTGGTTAGTCATCCCATTGACTGAGAATGCTGGTTATTTAAATTAAAAGAGCACAACAAGTTTAAGTTATGAAGATGTTGCTCTTTGAGTACTTTTCCTGTTGTGCTAACTGCTGATCTGGATGTTTTTCCAATAGTCTGATTCGGCTTTCTGTGCATGAGTGAACAGGCTCACCAGCACACTTGACAGGGGGATATACTGACTGTGCTGCAATCATCTCAGGGGTCTCCCTGGGAATTTTAAGCTAAATGTTTTCGGAGATATTAGAAGACATTACAAGAAACCTTGTTGTGCAACTCAGACATTTAAATTGCACCTGATCAGCTACAGCACAGATTTGAGATGCAAAATCCTTGTCCTTCTTCAGAAGCATGAAGCTGCCGAGTGGAAACCGTTGCCCTCATGCTATGGAATGTGTAAATCGGCGTTGCTCCTGCAGGGGGCAGTAGACTCACTTTCTCCAGTTTGCCGGAAACGGGGATGAGCTTTGGGGGCGGTCCCCCGATGTTCCCGTTCAGGACCCGCCCTTCCCGGGCCTCCTCGGGATCGCTGCAGGGGCTGCTGGGAGTCAGGTGGTTGTCGTTCCAGTCTCCGACGAAGTCCTCGTTCAGGTAAGCGTAGTTCCCGTTGCTGACCAGCGGGTCCTGCGAGCCGGCGGTCCGGAGCTGCTCGTCAGGCAGTTTGCAGGAGGCCATGCCGGGAGTGGGCCTGCGGCACTTGCCGGTGAACTCGGCGGCCCGGCAGTGGCGCTCCTGGTGCGTGCGGCCCGAGATCAGGCTGCTCACAGAGCCCATAGCGCCCTGGCTGGCGGGAGACCGGGACAGAGGGCGGTGCTGCGCGTCGACGCTGGAGCTCTGGGGATCAGTGGGGACGGGCAGAGTCTGCACCAGTGCCATGGCGGTCACACGCTGCGCCCACACACTCTGCAAAGGACACCACGCACAAGGTTAGAGGGGCAGGGCGTCAGGACACACCAGACCGCTCACCACAAAGTCTCAGTGCAGTACCGCAGGCCGCTGTCATTCAATACACAAGTGGGTCAGTTCCTCCACACACGCGAGGGGAGAGGGCTCGGTTCAAAATGGCAGCAGGGCCAGTACAACGTACATTTCTGAACCAATGGATCTTTCCCGCATTCATCATACATTCCAGCACATCGCGGCACTCTTTTCTGCTACAACGTGTTTGAGACTGAATTCTACTCACATTATCAGTAGAGCTGAGCTAAAGGGAGGTGCTGCCATAACACACCCTGGATGCCAGTTCACTGCTGTGGAAACACACAGGGACACTTCCAAAACACCAGTGAACCTGGGCAGCATGCCTTTGGAGCAGGTGCAAGGAAATCAAGCCACCTGCAGAAAACTAACATGAACATGTGAGAACTCCACACAGAAGGTGCAACAGTCCAGAATTAAACCCTGATGCCACAGTGTGAGGCTGTGGCGCTGAATGCCAAAACGCCCTTGCCTCCCTCTTACAAAACTGTTAAAAAATAAGAGGCACGTTGAACCTGTGACCTGGTGCCTCATTAAACTGTCTGAGTAAGATTCCTTTAAGGCCAGGAATTGTCCTTGATTATGTCCCTGTCTCCTCAACTCCCTGATTGCTGGACCGATTTCCAGTGCAGCAATGTCTTTTTGAAATGTGGCAACAAAGGGTCTGTTGCCACTGCCTTGAAATGTAAAGCTCACAGTACCCTTAGTTATACACAACTCTAATATGGTATAACAACACTATAGGGTTTGGCCTGATCACAGTAAGATCACAATGAAAACGGCATTGTGTAGCATGCATAGTATATCAATGCTGCTCATTTCAATATGACTGGGCTCTTGATGCCCTACCCTTCCATTACTTGACCCCTCAAAACAAAATATAAAAACAGGTTAAAAAAAACACCATAACACTGGAGATCTGAGTGCTACTGACCAGACTGCACCAGCAGTCTTAGTGCTACTAAGATCTTTCCACTAATAGCTAGGCCTTCTGGCATTCATTATGGTAGTGTGACAGATAAGAATTCCTAACTTGTCATACTTTAAAAAATAAATCAGACACAAGAGGGCTCTTTCCAAACCAAATTGTGCAAGCATGTGCTTTTGCACTGATATTAGCTCAATTATGGCCTGCCATTGTGGCACAAAGTGACGGTGAAGTAGACTTCATCTCCACTAAATCTTCTTCATATCGGAGAAACTGCCGAAGGAGTATGATTTAAGGCCAAACACACAATGGCTCACTCCAAAAATAACCGCCCATTCAAGCGGGCTGCAAGTCGCTTTAGGCTTCCTGTGTGATGCTAGAATGTAGCTGGGAGAGGGCGACACAAAAGTCTCCTTTCATCCCGAGAAAGAGAACAGCTCAGACCTCTGCAGGCTATCTGTCTCATTATGTTACCAACAATGGCTCGGCCCTCCCACATCCCATCAGCTCCTGCAGAAAACGCCAGCACCACTTAGCTCAAATAGCTGGTAAAGGTCAGAGGTGAGGGCGTCTGCAGAAAGGTGTGTGTGTGTTTCACTTTTCTATCCTTATTTTTACTGCTCCAAAGTGTTTTTTTTTGGTTTTAGATCATTAATTTTGTGAGTCCTTGTGTGCGAAAGAGGGCAGGACTGTGGGTGTTGTGATTCGTCATGTGCAAGCCAGCGTGTCTGTCTTCATCTTGTTTCTGTGCTCATTCTGTGTTTGCTTTTCTCTTAAGGGTGTACTGCTGGTGCTCACTGCTCATCTGCATCGCTGACCATGAAGATGCACATGTCTTGGTCAAGGTATATACAAAGGTCTTCTGCCTCACTGCTCCCTTCTTCCTTTGTCCTGTATGGCCCCAGGTCCAGTCCTGCAGCCGAATCCACACACTGACATTCCTGTCCGTATGGCTGGGATCACAACATTGTCAGCTTTAATCCAAGCATGGGTAACCATCAGGGCTAGAGTCCTGCAATGGCTGTCTTGCTGGATTTGAAAAAAGCGACAGCAATCAAGCTTCAACTCCTTCAATGCCTCAGCCACAATTCGGATGTGCATCAAGATCTGATATCACCTAGCCTGAGTTTTCTCAAGCCTTAGTAAATCAGAGAGAAACACCGCAAGAAAATCCTTCTTAATTATTGCTTTGTCTGATTCACTCTTTTCTGTCTGAACCTGTTGTGTGTTCCTAGAAGAGCACTGCTTGACACTTTCAGCCTAAGTCTCTCAGTTCCTGAGGGTCAAACGAGCGTTTTTTATGCTACACTGTACAACTACCTCCCTGCAGCCAACTGTGATCCTGGAGAGCCATAATCCAGCAGGTCATACCGGTCACGCTTAACCCAGCAACCTGTAAGGACCCAGGACACGTGACTTCGATCAGTTCAGTGAGTTAATGGATTCCATTAAGTCAAGAGTGGCCAGCTGTGGCCCTTGACAGCTACAGGGTACAGGGATTTTCATTTCAAATCATCTCTGAACTTCTTAACTGAACAAGCCACTGCTTCAGTGCTCAAAATGAAATTGGTCCGTGCTTTCAGAAACTGATGAGCTAAGGGAGGGGGGGTAAATTCTGCTGTGTTGTGGGATGGCCGAATATTCCAATTCTGCCTCTGTTAAAGACTACAATTAAGACCTTCCCATTTTACCAGGCCTATAATGAGGTTATTTAGCTGTTTAACATTCCTTAACTCATTTGTTTGATTTCTATACAAAACCAATTATCCTGACTAATTTATTAACGCAGTATTACACCCTAGCAGCCAGAACCTCACAGTAATATCTCATTTTCCTACAAGGAGTACAGGTCTGGAAGAAACTTGTCAGCTGACTATCCTTCAGACAAACAGGTGCTGAAGCTGACAGTTCAAAGGACACCAGACATTCCAGTTTATAAACAAACCACAAGGCCCGTTTACCACCATGAATGGTGGTATTAGAGACCATTTGTCTTAATTCAATCCTATTAACCCAAACTCTGAGCATCAGTTGTGTTAAGATATCTGCAAGAATGTCAAAAGATCTAGCTTGACAACATACATAGTATTTGCATGTCTTCCCATCTGACAAAAGCACACAGCTGAGCAGGAGATGAGCAGGTAATATTACATGCCATGCACTTCCTCAACACCTGTCAACCAGCATGTGTTTCTCTAATCCTAAAAAATACACTTCCCTGATGATGTTTTTAATGGAGTAACAGTGATGGCCAAGTATCCCAGATTTTTTTAAGGCAGCCTCAGATACCAATAATCCAGAGACATATGGGCATGTCCTAGCTGCACCGTTTGCTACCAGAGTGACCGACGGCCTACAGTAAGAGCCAATGCCCTGCCGATCAGTGCAGCGGGATCAATACCACTCTGTGGGGAAGAGCCAACATGTCCTTGACAGGCTGGCCTTCCAATCCACCACTTCTTCCCAGGGATGGATCATTCTGGATCACTTCATCCTTTTCCTCATTTCTTTTTCAACTCCGGAGTCATGTCCGTCTCCGATGGGCCAGTCATTCCACCCACTCTGAAGCAGGGATAATGCGATTAGAGATCTCCGCGGATTGGATCTGACCCCAGTGACCCCATGACCCCCAGACAACGAGATTCAAGAGCTTTCCTGACCTCGCTGTGCCCTCCCTGACCTTTCCGGCCTGGGTTTTTGTTCCCGCTACTCAGAGCAACAAATCTTGGAGCTAATTTGGCTCTGATGTTTTTTCTCCTTCTTAAGTGAAACTCAATTATACAACCTCCCCCAACTTTCCCCAGAAGGACTCAAGGGACTAGGAACTGGTCACTTAGCCCAAATTCAGGTGTGTGGGAAGTCTTTTTCTGTAAGGCCAGGTAAGATTATGGAAACGAACTCCAAAATCCTGGAATCCTTTTGATATGGGTTAGTCAAGAGTTAAGACACCCCAACCAATTTCCTCCATATCTGACAAAGAAGAGAGGTGTCCTTTTTAAATATATCTTTTTGTTTCTGGGGAATCTTAAATAAAGATGTGTGTTATTTTGTCCTTTAAACTTTAATATTATAACCTTGTTTATGACATACTGTTACCTAGCGACCCTCATCTGCTCATTAGATTTTCAAGTTCCTGTAGTCACATTAAGGCCTGGTTTCTCCAAATTCACACTTGCCTCCTACTAGGACTATTATGAATAGATGGAGATTTTAATTTTATTAGCTGTGTAATGGCTGCTTTAACGAGGCCCACCTGGCACCCTGCATTTAGTCATCAACCAATGACACTAAACAAAGTGAAGCAGAAATGCCTGGATTACACTTAGGGCTGTACAGCTTTTGATACTTACAGTATTCTCAAAATAAATTCCAGAGCCTTTCACTTCTACACATACTCAATTATAGTGCATTTTTAATGACTTGAAAACACCTCCACTCAAAGCACATGTGACCCATGCACAGAAAGAGTTGTGTGAAAGGGAGCTATGCATTTAACATAGCTCCCTTTCACACAACCATGTATGTAAATCTCAGCATGATATTTATTGATTTGAAAAGTCTGAGATATTCTTCTGTTAGTTTAGCACAGGAGTCCTTAAAGAAGTACATGTTTTGAAAAGCCAGGAGTACATCCTGTGTACAAAACAAATTGAGAATGAGGAGGAACAGGTATTGGTTAAGGAGAGTTTTCTAGCCAAATACTGAATCAATAAGTTCTCTGTCCGGGAGGGCATAACGAAGGTATGGTAGTTATGGTGGTGATGGTAGTCACAGCTCTTGGGTCCTGGGTTTGATTACAGACGGGGGCCCATTTTGTGAGTAGTCTGCATATTCCCTCTGTGTCAATATGCGTTTTCCCCAGGTGCTCAAATTTTCTCCTACCGCCTGAATACCGGCTGGTCAGGTATTCCCTCTGTGCTTGTGAGCCCTACAGTGGGCATGCTGGGCTACCGTGATCATTACCAGGAGTAGGCAGCTTTCTGATACTGGTTGGCAG